CCCCACTTTCACCAGATGACTAGCCCCCACTTTCACCAAATGACTCCGCCCACTTTCACCAGATGACTAGCCCCACTTTCACCAAACGACTAGCCCCCACTTTCACCAAATGACTCCGCCCACTTTCCCCAGACGACTAGCCCCACTTTCACCAGATGACTAGCCCCACTTTCACCAGACGACTAGCCCCACCTTCACCAGATGACTAGCCCCCACTTTCACCAAATGACTCCGCCCACTTTCACCAGATGACTAGCCCCACTTTCACCAAACGACTAGCCCCCACTTTCACCAAATGACTCCGCCCACTTTCACCAGACGACTAGCCCCACTTTCACCAGATGACTAGCCCCCACTTTCACCAGATGACTCCGCCCACTTTCACCAGACGACTCCTCCCTACCACCAGTGTCTTACCAAGGCAGCCAAGACGAGGTAGCCGATGTATTTGTGCTGTTGGATTGCTGTCGGGGCAAGTCCCACGAGCAGACAACATCCAGCGTAGAATGCCCTGTAACATACAATATACATGTTTCACACGTGTATTTTTGTACATATCAAGTGCGGGCACCAACACTAAACAACATGGCGACATAATACAGCGCCCAATCTATATCAAGGTAATTGTCGTAACTCTATCGTTCGGGTGTTTGGGACATCTTAAGTAACATTGCATTCATTAACTTATAGACAGTTGTGGATGACGAAATTATTGGTGGACCGATTGGAGTAATGATTGGTGGAAGGATTGGAGGAATTAATGGAGGACTTATTTGGGGGAATGGTTGGAGTAATTTTTGGGGGGAATGATTGAGGAATGATTGGAGGATGATTGGAGGAATTATTGGGGGAATGATGGGAAGAGTGTTTGGGGAATGATTGGAGTAATGATGGGGGAATAATTGGAAGAATGATTTGAGGAATGATTGAAGGAATGAGTAGATGAACAATTAGTAATGCCCTCGTCTGTTTTTAATGAGGTATCAATTAGCGAAAACAAAAATTATTTGAAAAAATAAAATTATTTATTTGAGACCTCTATGACAAACAGAAAAAATTGCCTCATTCTAAAAGACGCTATTTTTATGGTTTCATGTAAGCAATCTGTGATAAGCATACCCTAGGAATCTGTGATAGGTATAACACAGCAATCTCTGATAGCTATAACGTAGCAATCTGGGATAGATTAAACATCTGTGATAGTGTAACCTGAGCCATTCTTAGGAGTTTGGGGGGCCCTAAGCATGGAGCGTAGGTTGGGAGCCCCGGAAAGGGGGGGGGGTCCGCGGGTGGAGCTCCCTCGAGCTGAGGACCCCCCAATCCCCCCCCCCCCCCTGCTGTTTCCCTTCCCCTGCCTCCGAATTCAACTCAGAATGATAAATTTCAGGATGAGGAAGGTAACGTGAGTGACACAGACGGCTGTAGTGCCACCTAAAAAAAAAAAATTGGGGGATCGAGGGCGCCTCACGGGGGGCCCCCTCACGTTCGGGGCCCTTCGCGGATGCGTAGTCAGCGTATGCCTAAGAACGGGCTGGTGTAACACAGCTATCTGTGATAGTTATACCATAGCACTGTGTGATAAACATAACACAGCTATCTGTGATAGGTATTGCATCTGTTGTAGTGTAACACAGCTATATGTCATAGGCAAAACATAGCAGTCTGTGATAAGTATAAGACAGCACTTTGGCATTGGCTAAACCTCAACTCACAATGAAAGCCACTTGAACCAGGGAAATTTGGCATTGATCTCACTCAGCTCTTCAGTCATTCTGAGACAAAATAAAGTAAATTAAATTAAATCGCACTAAGCGGGTGCAATGGGACAAACGCCTAGTGAATGCGGACACAACTAGTGAATGCGGACACAACTAGTGAATGCGGACACAACTAGTGAATGCGGACACAACTAGTGAATGCGGACACAACTAGTGAATGCGGACACAACTAGTGAATGCGGACACAACTAGTGAATGCGGACACAACTAGTGAATGCGGACACAACTAGTGAACGTAGACACACACCTAGGGAACGCGGACACACACCTAGTGAATGCGGACACAAACTTTGTGAATGCGGACACGCACCTAGTGAACGCGGACACGACTAGTGAACGTAGACACACACCTAGTGAACGTGGACACACACCTAGTGAATGCGGACACACACCTAGTGAATGCGGACACAACTAGTGAATGCGGACACACACATAGCGATCGCGGACACACACCTAGTGAATTTGGACACACATTTAGGAAAAGTGAACACACATCTAGTAAACGCGGACACAAACCTAGTGAACGTAGACACACACCTTGTCGAATCGGACATACACCTAGTGAAAGCAGACATTGAACAGTTAACGCGGTCCCATACCTATATATATATATAGTGAACGCGGACATACAGTAAATGAGGACACACCATACAGTGATAGCGGACACACGGTGAAGTTTGAAAAATGTGAAAGGGGCCACGCACCTATAGTGATAGCGGACGCTTAGTAAATACAGATGAACACTTACAGAAATGGCAATATAAGATGTAAGTCACAAAGCCGAGCTTAGCAGAATGTTAAAGCAGTTTGCTTATGGTACACTGGAGATGGTCCCTCCTCTTAAATGCGACCATATGCTTCTCGCAGTTAAAACAATGAATAAAAACATCTGCTCAACCTACAATTCAAAGTCTCACTCAAAACTCACCCGAAACGAAATGCACAAGCGAACACGATACACAGTGACAGCTCCGTTAGAAGAATGACCAGGACCCTTTGGCTGACTTCTGGAAACAGAAACAAAAAAACAACAACCCAAAAACGTTAACTCAATCTGGTGGACCACTGCCAAGTAATATCTTCTTATCCGTCTAGACAACAAGAGGACCCGAACTGTAGGCATTGCACACCATTTCCCAATACGTGGTTCGCCCGAGTTTGACTTCTGTGAAAGCTATTGGAAGACCAGTAGTTCCAATGTAACGTTTATGCTGTATGGCCTGCAGCTAGGCTTGACCTTCGCGGAGACAATAAGAAGACAAGTAATTCCAATGTTAAAGAGATGCTGTACGGCCCGAAGCTAAGCTTGACCTTTGGGGAGGCTATAGGAAGCGAAGAAGTTCCCGTATTACAGTAATGTTGTATGACCTGCTTCCTTGCAGACGGTGCTTGTTGTTAGAGTGCTGGCCGGTGGCATTAAGAGCGTTTAAGTTCCATCCCTTCCTGTGTAAGGATTAATTTTTGATGGTTGACACGAACAAAGAGGGTGGGGGAAGTTATAATTATAACCACGCTGAGCTGAATCTATAGTCAAACAACCAAACTTTCTGATCTTTTCTCTTATCTGAATGTTAAACCTGACCTTTCTGTTGTTCTGCCTCACTAAATGTTAATTAAATGACCTTTCTGTTCTTTTGTCTTAGCTAAATGTTAACCAACTGAACTTTCTGTTGATTTTTCTTAACTAAATGTTAACCAACTGACCTTTCTGTTGTTTCATCCGTAGGGCTTTGCACTTGATGAGCGAGGGTCTCTGTTAGTAGTAAATGCATGCACTCATGAATTTTTCTATTACATATTGTAATGTTGTCTTATGAGCGGTTCTAAACCTATATCAGCTTGTAAAAGACGTTTACTCATTTTTGAAATTCTTCCACGCACAACTGTACAGATGGAGATGACTACTAACTGCACGCTGATATCCGTTGTACACTCCGCAAGATACCGATATTCAGAGATGGAATAAAATTATTGATTCGGACGTCCTCAATATTTATGTTTAGCATCTCTATTTCTTCAATCATTGTATCATAATAATATCTTAATGTAGCATCCATCATTGTATCATAATATCTAACCGTAGCATCCATTATTGTATCATAATATCTAACTGTAGCATCCAACACTGCATCATACTTTGTAATTGTAAATCATCCATCTTTGTATCATAATATCTATTAAATCATCCGTCAGTGTATCATAATATCTATTAAAGCATCCGTCAGTGTATCATAATATCTATTAAAGCATCCGTCAGTATATCATAATATCTATTAAAGCATCCGTCAGTGTATCATAATATCTATTAAATCATCCATCAGCGTATCATAATATCTATTAAAGCATCCGTCAGTGTATCATGATATCTATTAAAGCATCCGTCAGTGTATCATAATATCTATTAAAGCATCCGTCAGTGTATCATAATATCTATTAAAGCATCCATCAGTGTATCATAATATCTATTAAAGTATCCGTCATTGTATAATAAAATCTAATTGTAGCATTCATCATTAATCATAATATCGAATTGTAGCATTCATCATTAATCATAATATCGAATTGTAGCATTCATCATTAATCATAATATCGAATTGTAGCATTCCTCATTGTGCTACAACATCTTTTTTTTAATCCATCTTGGTATTCTAATTTCTTATCGCTGCATCCAACATAGTGTCATATCTCATTGCAGTATACAACATTGTATCATGCTATCTAATTGCAGCATCCCAGATTGTATCTTAATATCTTATACTCCTAGCATACATTATTTTTTCATAAGTTCTTACCTTTGAGAGTCCCCAGTTCTTGTTCTTATAAGTTATTACATTTGAGAGTCCATAGTTCTTGTTCTTATAATTTCTTACCTTTCAGAGTCCAAAGTTCTTGTTCTTAAAAGTTCTTACCTTTGAGAGTCCATAGTTCTTGTTCTTATAAGTTATTACATTTGAGAGTCCACATGTCTTGTTCTTATAAGTTTTTACATTTGAAAGTCCACAGCTCTTGTTCTCATAAGGTCTTACCTTTGAGAGTCCACAGTTCTTGTTCTTATAAGTTCTTACCTTTGAGAGTCCATAGTTCTTGTTCTTATAAGTTCTTACCTTTGAGAGTCCACAGTTCTTGTTCTTATAAGTTCTTACCTTTGAGAGTCCACAGCTCTTGTTCTCATAAGTTCTTACCTTCGAGAGTCCACAGCTCTTGTTGCAACTTTTGGACTGTGTCGGCTTGGGCGCGTCTTCAACTGCATTGCTGTAAAAGTCTCCTGTCAGTATGGCCCGCTCTCCACCAAATGGACTCGTGATGCGCCCACTCCTGAAAGGCTCACTGTACGCCCCTGGGCTGTGATCGAGTCTTGGAATGCTGTGGTACCCAGGGTACCGGCCCAGGGACGTGTATGCGTGCGGGAGGTTAAGGGAAGCGGGGCCGTAGTTGGGAAGGCTCGGGTGGGAAGCAAGGACATGCTGTGGTAGGTACTGGGAGTAGGTGAACGGGTAGTACTGGGGGAGACCAGAGGGGGGAGGGTGGGGCCTGGTGTAACGTTTGGGCCACGTGTAGCTTTGATGAACCGGGAAATGCTGGCCGGGATAGTGTTGGCTCGGGAACTGTTGCCCTGGGAACTGTTGCCTCCCACTGGCGTCCATCATTTTGAGAACTGTGTCTGAAAATAAACAGAATATGTCAGGTCAAGAGTGTCTGGAAAAAAAAAGCAAAGTTTTATTGTCAAATGTGTCTGAGATAAAGATAAACGCTATAGATTGTTATTAATAGAAATAAAGGGGAACAATAGATCTGAATCTCTTTAGTTTTCTCTGTTCATTATTCATAATTTAAATGTAGAGTTTTATCAAATCTACATTTTAGTTTATTAATTTCTGACTGTTTTAAATAAATAAAGCAATATGTTGATTACTTTTCTAGTAAAATGGTAAATAAATTGAGTGCAATGAAATAGTCAAAGTTGAACTGTAAAAGAAAATACTAAACAATAAAGAGTAAATAGGCAAGGCATGAAGAGGAGATTATACACAATGTAGAGTGTAAATAAAACTGGGTCTAATAAATCTGGATATTTTAAAAGTTTGGCCTCCCTAGTAAAAGATCATATTTTATTATAAGCTTTTTGACATTTGTTATTTTATTTATGAGTGAAACCAACTAAATAGTAATCAACTTCTGAAACTACATACTTACCATATGGTATAAGGCACCGAAGTGGACTTCTACACAAATAACATTACTGAAGTGCTCTTTGGTGTAATCTGAATGATATGCATACTTTTGATATCACCTCGGAAATTCCCGTTGATAAAAAAGAAATACAATTTGCGATACTTGCGAGTGTGCGTACATGTGCCTGCCAGTGTTTCTCTTTTCCCGGCGTTTTGCTCATCCCGGGAGAACGGGTCAAAAAGTCACTCTCATTGAAACAAAAATATATCACAGACTAAATTTAACTATACAAGAATAGTTGGTTCTTAAAACTGCTTGTACGTTATCGCCATAAGGAGTGATCAAGGAAAATTAAGATGTTGAGGTTTGTTGAATGGTTGGTGACATGGTTTTCTCAAGCGGAAGGCACAAAAGCCTTCCCGGGAGATTGGTAAACACATTTAGATCATAGTTTCTGTTCCATTTTTTTTTTAAAATTAAAAATTGTAAGTCACAGATTGACACAAATTGTCGCTATAAACCAGAACATGTCAAATCGAGTTAACTGCGCTGAATTATTAAGGTCGGTTGCTCTACTGCACAGGTTGATCCCATTTAAGAAGAGGAATCATTTCCAGTGAACCATCAGCAAATTGCTTTAACATTCTCCTAAGCTGGGCTGTGTGACGTACACTTCGCCATTCACACGGAAGCACCAAAAAGAGGCACAAGATAGTGATCCTGTTGCAATATTTAAAGAGAAATTTAAAAAAGGCTTATAAATATGGGTAAATTCTTGGAAATGGAAACATATCAAAACTAGATTTAGGCATATTGTAATTGTATTTAGCATGAATATGTCATAATGATTGAAATTATTATTAAATCTTTAAGACAGCATTTAAAAAAAAATAATCTTTTAAAAAATAAAAATCACTATATTATATTTTATTAGCCTTATTTCTTAGAGAAAACCCCGGCCGATATCACAGAAATCCTGTCTTGTTTGCCTGGTTGCACACATCGTACCCCATTTGAAGTCAAATCCTATCGTCTGGGAGCCTGTGGTTTATTAAATAGATACTGTTTATCTGTCAAACTATTTTTATGTTATCTCGTATTTTTTACTTCCAAAATTAAGCTAGTAGGACAATTCCATACATGGAGACACGCGATAACATTCTTTTATTTATTTTTTTTTAAATTCGCAGAAAGCCAGTTATTACAGGGTTGTTAGAAACACTTGCTTGTGAATACTTCGTGATGGATTTGAAACTAGAAAAAACTGCACAGACTGTTGAGCTGAAATAGAGTGCAGCGTGTTTTGTTATTCTTCTATGTACGATGTTTACTTAACCTGTTATTTATTACTAGAATAAATGACCCGATATTATCGGGATACTAATGGTAGGTCCTTTGCTATAATTTCTTACTGCTATTGCAAAAACTCGTCACAATTCATAACTTTAAAAATGTTATGCTATTTACGTTTCGAACATCATTACGTTTTGAGAAGTATTTATCTGCTATAGATTATGGGCCTATCCTACTCCTTTTCACGCTCCTAAATTACTCCCCCCCCCCTTCTAAACAATAAATTAAATTACACAGTCTAAATTATTACTAATTATATCACTTTGTCACTAAAGAAGTTAATTGAGGGACAATTACTACGTTAAAGAAATACTTTAGATTGACCCCTTTTCGTGCACTCGAATTACAACTTTTTTTCTCTAAAAATTGCTTAAAAAACTTGCCTTAAATTTACTCCAAAAACTCTATATATGATATAAAAATATTTTAAATTATAGGAATTCGATATATATTGATATCTTCAGCAAAAATTTAAACACATTTTTTTCCTTTTAAAAAAAAAAATAAAAAATATATATATTGTCAGAAAATCGTAAAACAAAGAATGCTTTTATCTAAAGAAAAATTGCGCAATCGTTTTCACGTCTAGAACAGATTTTGTGTGTTGTTGTTATTTTAAATTTAAATGGTTAATCTAAAAAAAATACAAATCTTTTTACTTTTTGCAAAGCAAAATAAAAAAATATATTTTAATTTTTTGAAAGTAAATATTAACCCATCTCTATTTTTCAAAATTAATTTTTCAAGTGTGTAAAATGATTGGGTTTTGATATTCATGGTTATACTTATATAAATGTACCCAAGATTTGTTAATGCCATTGCTCTTCTTAATTGGTAAACATACTTATATTTGTAAAGAGAGAGAGAGAGAGTACCATCTCTTTTTTCAAAAATGAAATACCATAGGAGTTAACTATGTTGTCATCCACGTAAAAATGTACACATCTTATTTCCAACCTCCGACATGTAGGCTATTTACCCAAGAAAATTAATTATTTATCAAAATAATTCCTTTATTTTGAGATGTATCTTGTACTGCCTTGAGCAAAATGAACATACACATATTTGTAAAAAGTGAATGTAACATATTTTCCCCAAATGTAATACTATAGGATTTAAATATATTGTCATCCACGTGAAAATGTACACATCCTATTTCCTATCTCCGAACTGTATGTTCCCAAGAAGGTTAATTATTTATCAAATTCATTCTTTTATTTTGAGACGTATCTTGTGCTGCCTGGGCCAAGTAACCAACCCCTCCCCCACCCAGATTTAAATAAATTTAGAAAAATCTTCTACCGGATTGTTTGATTTCATTTGATATATTTTATATCGCGCTGGTATCCATGCCACTTTAGCTTGCTCACTGCGCTCTGGTCCTCCGAAATCTATTTAAACAAAAAAGTTGTTAATTGTTTCTTAAATGATTTTTTATCATTTACAATTCCCCTTAAAGATTGAGGCAAACTGTTCCATTATTGTTGGCGCTATCGCTTCAAAAGAGCGCACTCCGTAAGACTTTTTTTTCTGTGTTCATCCACTCTAGGAACACTCAGTAAGTACTGTGTTGAAGACATCAGGCTCTTCAGAGGTACATGTATATTTCGGTGCTGAGCCATCTATGCAGCTGTACGTCAGGGACAGAATTTTGTAGTTAATGTAGTCCCTTCCATACCTAAACTAAAATAATTTGCACTTTATATGGTTCGTTCTTTTTTGTTTTAGTTATAAGTAGATTAGTCAATGCTATTTAACTATGGAGTTGCGCTGCACTGATTTACTTAAACCGCATTTTCTTATTAGAATTATATTTAAAGGTTAGTTTTTATTATGTTATGAATTTAATAAAAGTATATTTTTTAAATTAAAACAGGCACATTTTTTAAAATGTAAAAATATACAGAGCAAAATAAATGTGTGTGTGTTTTATTAACAAGTTAAAAAGCAATCAATTGTATTTGATTACATCTTTAAATCGCACCGTTTTTTTGAAACACAAAATAATGACTAAATCATAAGGTAAGGAGATTACAATTAATTTTACTTTTAAGAAGGGGAAATAATTAATCACGCGTGGTTATTAAATTTAAAGAAACCTAAGAGTTTTGGCGAAATAGGCTTTTCGCGCTATGACGTCTTTGCATGATTATTTAGAACAAATTATTTTTAATTTTAATTCGCAATATTAACAACGCACTAAAAGACGCACTAAAAACGACTGATGATTGGGTTTTCCCAATAAATGTGATTACGGTGTAAATCTTTAATCATGATTTTTTAATTTTTTAAATTTTTTCATAACTTTCAAACACATAAAAATGCTTAAAATAGTTCCTTAGTTGATACTGTAACTGTATTTGTAATTTATAATAATAATACTTAAACTTTTACTAAAATAAAAGCGGATTTAGAATATTTTTTGCGCATTTAAATTTATTCGATTTCCGTAAAACAATAGAAAATAACTATGATTGTTTTTAGGAATCCGAACGTACTTAAAAAGTATATCCCTTTTGGTGTTATGTGAACCTAGCTCATTCTTATATAATATTAGAGCTGGGTAGGGTTAAAATGAAGCAACTAGTAGCAAGAAACCAACCTTTCAAGTATCCATTTAACACCATTCTTTATTCATTAACAGACAGAAACGATTGAGCAATTCAAAAAAAAAGAAAAAAAAAAAAAAAGCCCTACTATAGTTTAATATAATTTTATTACATTAATTTTATCCCATTGGTGTTATGTGAACCTAGCTAATTCTTATATAATATTAGAGCTGGGTAGGGTTAAAAAGAAGCAACTAGTAGCAAGAAACCAACCTTTCAAGTATCCATTTAACACCATTCTTTATTCATTAACAGACAGAAACGATTGAGCAATTCAAAAAAAAAGAAAAAAAAAAAAAAAGCTCTACTATAGTTTAATATAATTTTATTACATTAATTTTATCCCGGGATTTCCCAGGATACCGGGCTGAGAGTGAATTTTCTCCCGTTTTGCAGGAAACCTTCTTCTTCTATATATTAAGGCCCCACGATCAATTTATTGATCATTTTGGCTCCTATGCATGTAGAGGGGATTTGCAATGCTTCTGTGCCTGGTGTTGATGAGGTTA